CTACGTGAAGTTTTAAAAATTGAAGAAAAACTTAAATTACTTCGGTATGAATGAAATTATTAATTTAACAAAAAAAAAGACAATTAACATTATATCGAAATAAATATATTGATATTATCGAGTACTATACCTAGTATTCGTCTGAATCATTTCTAATATTACTTTTTTTTTTGTCTATATTCTAAATTATTCGATGTGCGTTATTGTACAATTTATATAACTTTTATTTTTCTAGTCCATATTCGGCCCGTTTTGTTGCTGATGAAAATACTCCTGATGGAACACCTATGCAACCAGGACAAGTATTTCGTAAAGGTTGGATACTTCTTAATGATGGTTCTATGCCATGGTCAAGTGATGATATACAGCTAGTTAATTTAGCTGATGGTATTAAAGTTGTTAAACAACCTATTATTCCTGTTACTGCGCCACATGATCGAGCACTTATAACTGTTGATTATATGTGTGCTAATGAATCAGGTACTTATGAAAGTAAATGGATTCTTTCTTATCGTCATCAAACATTTGGTCCAATGATTTGGTGTTCAATAGAAGTTGGCTCTTCAACAGTACCTAGTATGTATTTATAAATGAAAGGATGAGTAGAATAGATCATGGACATGTAGCGCACTCATATTTCTTTTGGTTCCATTTTTTCATGTCCAAAATTAACAATTCGAGATGTTTTCTTCTATTCAAAAAAAAAACGAAAAATTTGAAGAAATATTTTGTACAGAATAAACATGGCTTCTGTGTTTTTTTAGAATCGACTAATGCATTAAAAGAAACATTTGAATTCGTTGATGTACCATTACCAGCTTGTTTTGATTTATCAAAGGCTTATTCATTAACATCAAGCAATTGTTCACCTCGTGTAAGTATACTTTATTTACTAATAATTTTACTATCTTTTTTTAATTTTATTAGTCAAGTTTTATTTTACCTCGTTCAAATTCAATAGATACACAATCGGAACCATTAGTTGACATTTTTATAAATTCATCATCTAGTGATAGTGACAGCTTTTCAACTTTTGTGCGTTCACCATCACCAGTGTTAACAAAACCAGAAGAATCACCATTAATTGAAATACCATTTACCTATCCAAATAATAATCAAGAACGTCAACCATCACCACAATTAAAGTAAGTTCATATTTTTGAAAAGTTAAACCCTCAGATCAGAAATTATATATGTTGTCCCGAGCCTGTCGAATTCGTTTCAGATCTCAATCCGGTCACGAAAGGTGACTATAAGTTTCATAGTCATTTTGACTACAGCACGAGGTATATGTACGCTAGAGAATTGCAGGTTCACGTTTCTGTGAATCCAGACTCTAATAAAGTTTAAAATTTGAACTTGGACCCGAATGGGTCCAAACCCGAGGTTTTTTCCATCGATACCTGGCATCCTTCGTGTACATGAACAAGTGAAGAATCAAAGTTACAGCTATTTATTCACTACTCTTAGAAAAAAAAATCAACGTACAGTTATATCTTGCTGCTGTATTTCTCATCTGTGGAGCAGCAGGCCCACAAAAACATGTAATCGGGTCCGACAAAAAATAAAGGGTTGGACCCAGACCCGAAAAAACAACTTTGCACCCGACCGGGTCTGGGTCTAGAAGGACCCACAGCTCCCTAATGTAGGCTTGTAGAGTAAGATTTCCTCTATCAAATGATGTATATATTATCAATTTCTATTGTCCACAGTTCACTCGTCGATAGACCTTCGCTGCGTTCACTGAAGAAGGTGGCGCCATCTGTCGACGAGTCAACGTTCTGTAGCCGAAACTTTGTAGACGCCTTTAATACCTATGTAGTTGCGAATTCGAATACTTTCGAAATAGGAAGCAGTCAATAGTCTTTGCAATGAACAATCTTTTATTTTAGTCAATCAATGGTTTTTGTTGATTCGGTTGTAACAAATATATTCAGTGTTGCTAAACAAGCAGGTTCAACAGCTAAAGCAATTTTTCATACATTACAAGCAACTGATGAGGTTAGATATTCTATTTTATTGACGTAATTAATACAACATCTAATTTATTTAGACAACTCAATCTGTTCAAAGACAACAACAACAACAACAACAACAACAACAACAAACATTGGTTAATACAAGAAATTTAAATGTTGATGATTTTTTTGAACATGTTGATTATAATGAAACAACAAATAGAAATTTAAGTTTATCAAATGATCCAATGGAAATATTAATTGAAATGGGTTTTGATAATCTTGAAAAAAATCAACGTTTACTTATAGAAAACAAAAATGATTTAAATAAAGTCATTGAACTATTGGCTGACGATAACAATGAAGATTTTGATTAGTTTTTCTAATCTTCATTTATATTTCTCCGCATAAATGTCTTTGGTTCATTTTTTTTTTGTATCTATATGTACAAAGACAATTTAGTTTTTCCTTTTTCTCTTATTAATCAAGATCATTATCCTTGAATTGTACATTTTTTTTTCTTCTTCTCATTAATTAGTATACATATGAGTGATTATTTCCAGTTTCATTGTACTAAAATTTGTTCTTTTTTCTTCTCTTGATTATACTAATTGGATTAACTATTCATGAAAAAGAATAAGGATTCCTGAAAATTAAACTCGTGTGTGTGTCGTATTTCATTCTCAACAATAAACTGCATTTCTTGAGTCTCATTTGGTTCTATATCAAAACAAAAATTGGACTTAATTATTTTAGTTTTTAGATTGAGTTTTTTTCGTATTGAGAAATCTAACGTACATAAACATGTGAGTTTAGTTTTTAATGTTGTGCAGTATTGTTCGCATGTTGGAATGATATAAATATATACTCCATGTGAATTGATTATAGCAAAATTATTGCTGAGTTGAATGTGAAAAGAGAACGAATATTCTATAGAAAAAAACGTATTTGTTTGTTTTCTTTTGAATATTTAGGTTACGTCTTAATTCACTTCTTGCAACATATGGTACAACATCTGATAAAAAAAATAAATCCAAACACATTCAAGGTCCAAAAGATCATGAAAAATATCCACCCTTACGACAACGTAATGAAAGAGAACCACCACGTTCAATAAAATTAAAACCACAAGAATATTTTTTATTTACTGTTGCTTTTGTAGCAATATCAGCTTTAATTATTTATAATGTTTTTATGTCTTATTATGCATATTATTCATCGAATCAGGATTATTAGAAATTGATTATAAATTGAAGTAATTTTATGCCAATGTTTATCAATGATTTTTTGTGCTTTAGTAATTCCTATATGTAAACATTTTAATCAATTGTTTTTTTTTTTGTCTTTTAAATATAATTTAAAATATAATGAGCTGTTTTTGTATATTAAGTCTTAAAATTATTACAAACAATATTGTGTTTTTTCCAGAATGGATCATAAAAAACTTATTCTCTTATAAAAAATAATTTGTGCATTGATAACATTCAATTTTCGAACCAATACCTGTTGTAATACATACAGCTGAGAAAAGGTTATTAAATACAATTGATTTCACTTTGAAAACATTTCATTACAGATGGAGATAAAAAAAGAAATAGATGTGTGTGGCTGTGATTGGGGATGCGGAACTTCTCTCCACCCATACACGCATTCCACATCCTTTTTCGAGTGATCACACATCAGTTGACTGAAATTGAAGGTTCCAAGAAAAATGTTATAACTCTCGGATGGAAAAAGTTAGGATTGTTGGTCTTACAGAGATCGAAAGAAAAATAGCTTTAAAATATTTTATTCTCGAAAATCTTCACCAAGAACTCATCTAATTGATCAACTGCTGACCAATCAAATTTCTATATGTTTTGATGACCCCGGATCTTCTCTCTTGAATAATGAAAACCGCAAGTCTCTGTGATGTTCCTATCAAAAGTTATTCGAGAAACAATAGAGCACATTATATTTTGAAATGAATAGTAGTAAATATTGCAGAATGAATTATGACAGATTATTTTTCAAACAATGAATATGTGAAATATTTCAACAAATAAAATATATATTTATGACACAGACGAACACTATCTATGAATGTAATTGATACAGATCTCTGTAATCAATACCAAAGAGATGTTCGTATTGTTGAGTTCGGTGGACATTTGTCAACTCGCCAAAGTACAGAGGATGTACTGCTGAACGTCCTACTGACGAACTTCGTTAATCTAATAATTTTTCACGCTATCATCAAGCATTAGGTAAGTTTATATTTGAATGTGTGAAGTAATTGTTAAAATCTATTTTTGACTTTCTTCACTATTATCGTCATATCTAAATAGCACTTTAGCTGGTAATCTCTAGAGATTCAACTATCGAAATTATTATCTATCTGTAACAATCCACTGATTTTAATCATTTTTTTGTAATAACTCGAGAACAATTTAAGCCATCCATCAAAGATTTTCCCATTGGAACTTATCTATCTTGTTTGTTCCCGTTTTGATTGATAGAAGTCAAACAACGCCATAATCTCACTCTTGAGACAAGTAGCCGAATGAAAGTAATGATTGTTGATAGATGATTGTATCCATTACAGACATTATCACAACATGCGTAAAACAAACTGAAGTATCTATTTTTATTCCACTTTCTTTCTATAGATTTTGAATTAAGTTTCAAGAAAAAACATTTACTAATTAGGATTTATATTTTACAAAATCCATTCTATAGAAAACATATGGAATTTTTGTATTTTTGTCTTGCTCTATTGGACATAATGCCTTCTTAGTATGAATTATTTATAATAATGTATCCGTTATTGCTTCTAATATTAAAGTATTGGTTAGTTTAAAATACTGTGCTTCTATTAGACAGCAAAAAACATAATATAGCACAGTTCTTTAACGTGACTAACATTTTTTTTTCTTAAGGGCAGAACGAGTGACTATATGTCTGTTATGACTTCTATATGTTATTTACAATCGTCGAATAAGCAAATCATTTGTTTATCTACAAACAAAATTGAATACACTTCTATTCTATCATTAAATCATAATGTCTACTAAAATATTCATTATTGTTAGTTTTGTTTTATTTGAATTTATTTTAAATTCCATATGTAAAATTAATATTTGTAATAATAAATCAAATGGTTTTTATACTAATTATACAAGTTTAAATTGTCGTTCATATTATTTTTGTTTTAATGAAACACTTAAAAAAATTTTACAATGTAAAAATCAAACTGAACCAATATTTAGTTCATATCGACAACGTTGTATAGCAAAAAATCTTTTTTATAATGAATGTTATTCAAATAATATAACAGAAGATAATAAAAATTGTGCTTGGTTTTCTATTCAATTATTAACAATACCAAAGAAAACATATCATTATTCATGTTTATATCCTTTTTTATTTGATTTACAAACAAAAGAATGTAAACATTATTCACAAGTACAATGTAATCAACGATTTGAACCAAAAGATGTTTGTAAGAATATTGAAAAGAATTTTAAAAAAAACAAAGAGTCTTTATTTACAAATAATATTTAGGTGATTATCATCATCCACAAATATATAATTCAATAAATAGAAGACCCTGTTGGTTAATACCAAGTTGTCGTCATAAAATAAATGGTCTTTATGGAAATCAAATACAAGAATGTTCATCTTATTATGAATGTAAAGATGAACGTTTTGTTAGTTTAATAAAATGTCCAAGAAATATGTATTTTTCTGATAAATATAAAATATGTTTATCTACATTGTTTAATTGTGAAAATAAGACTGTATATTAATCTTTTTCTTATGTTCAATGTCTTTATGTTAAATAAAAAATAAGTAAATTCTACTAATCTATTATATAAATGCAAATTATATTAAATTTTTGGAACGATTTGGTTGACTCACTTATTGAATTATTGAACTACATCGGCAAAACTAATCAATATTGTCACAGAGTTATGAATGTAGATTAATAAAGTTATGATAATTTCTCAAACTTTTCGAACAAAGACATATTAATAAGTAGAACTAAATCAAAGATATTATTAAAGAATTAAGAATTAAAAATAATCTGAAATTCTCTTCATATGTTGATCGGATGAATTTCTCTTCTTCCTAATAATATAAGAGAATTACAAGTTTTTATTCACGAGTCAAAAATTTATTTGCACTCTTTAAGTTTTCATTAATCTATCTGACTTCTCTGAAACTTCATAGGTACCTCTTGGATTTTCATATGCAGAAAATTCTGAAGAAAGTGATTTATTAATGCAAATAGAAAAATCTTTCCTATGGAGACAATCAACGGAAGAAGCTCTAGAAAATCGAGTGTATCAAAGCAAAATAATTTCAGATGTGTGCGCTTCTTTTGATCGATTACCGATGGAATTACTTGGGAAAAAAGCCAACTTTTGAATTAAAATAGAGAGTATTTCAAAAATGTCTGAAGAAAGTTTTTATAAATATTTCTTATGAAATTCGAGTGATTTAATTACTTTCATTTTAATAATATAAAAGTATATTCTTTTAAATTTTTTTTATTTAATATAACAAATGTTCAAAATGAAATACATAAAATTATTGTTTTCGAAATCTTTTTAAGAAAAAAAAAAAAATATTGTAGAAAGTTTATTTCATAAATTAATCTATTCTCATTATTAGTTCTTATGTTAAAAGACTTTACCTGAGAAAACAAGAAAAGATGAATTCTTCTGATAATTGATATTTTTCACCTTGATCTTATCAATGTTGTTCGTGGAGTCGTTAGACAAATTATACTTCGTATAACTCCATTCGGCCTACTATTATTTGTCGAATGAAGCAGGCTGTTCTAACAATCTAAATACTCGGTATTGGCTAACATTATGAATTCCATCGATTTTCTCTTCTGTGTATTTTTTGAAAGGTCTTTTAGATTGTTATCTATCTATTATTATACTGATTTCCCAAAAGCATCTATAACACAGTCTATATCTGGCATTTGTGTGTCTAATTTTCACTTGCATGTTTCGTTTCGCTATGATAGATGTCAAATTTAGTAATTAACAAAACAATTTCTATTATAATGTTTATATACATAGACAGAACAAAACTTCAAAGAATTTACTATAATACTATTTCAAAAAAAAAATATAAATCATTTGAATTGTTTATGAAATATTTATGATAAACTTTTTCCGTTGACTTTTAGAATACCTTGTAGATAGTACTAAATTTCAAATATGTCAATCAACTAATAATTTATGAACATAAAACCTTGCAATTTTCCTCTCTTTAATCAAGAAAAATAATTAATAATTGTTAAAATCTGAATAGATATTATTTTAAGACTATTGTTCGAAAATAGCCAAATTATTGTAGATTACTAGAAAAATTATCATTCCCAATTGGATGTACTCTGTCGGAAAACGTTGGAAAAAATTTCAGTTTTCTTCCTTTGAGAATTCGTTCGTTAACAAAAGAAAAACGGAGAATATATAATGTAGTATCAATTTGTTTTGTATGTAACAAGTAGGCAATAACATGCAATAAATATATAGAAGACATTTAAACCTATATATAATAATACTACAAAAAAAAAAACGTAAACATTGAATATTCCGTCGGAAACAGAACAGTTTCCTCGAGCGAGATGTTAATGTATTCTGTTAACAAAACTTATAATTATATATGCATATAGAGAACAGTGAGTACAGTATTTGATTTTCATTTCTATGCTTAAATTACCCTTTTTTGTTTTTGTAATAATATCTTCACATTGTTTTTATTTTAAATAAATTAATTCTAATTGGTATTTTACATTGTATGAAAAAACTTCCGGTGAACGTGTTATCTAATAAGATAATTATTTGATCTTCATGCTCTTCTTTTTTACCCTGTAGTTCAGAACTATATTTTTATATGCATCAGATATAATACCAATAATATGCGAATAACGTTATTAATCACTTCAATCTGTTAAATGCTTCATTGATTAACAAAAAAAAAAAAAAAAAAGCGCACTATATGAACTTTTTATATGATTAAAATATCGCTTTCTTGTGATTATTTTTTGTTACTGTGTTTTTAATCGAATGTTTATTGATCTACACATACAGCTAATTCCCGAACGTCAATTACATCTGCTGCATGTGTTTCAGTCTTTTTTTCTCCTATAAAGAAACTGTTTCTTTTCTTGTTCTTCATATGTGCTCTGTTCTAGTAGCTCATCTTTAGCCTATTTACGCCTTTTATATACAACCAAATAAGAAGACAATAATAGACAGAGAAAAAGAAAGATCTTCTTTTCTCGTTCGCCCGCATTTTTTTATATTTAGAGGACTATGTACTCTGTAGGAACCAATACTTCTTTGCCGATTCTTTTTTTTGTATAGTGATAAGGCCAATAATCTCTATTTCTCTCATTATCATCGACAATTGTATTGGAATACTGTACATCTAGGATAGAAGAATGACCTGATTATTCGTCTATCTAATACTCGATCAATGGTCCCTAAGTATTAGTCAATCATTCTAAAGCAAATTATTTTGCTTCGTCCATATTAAATGTGACATAACTAATTGATCATTCAGCATTTTGGCGTCCATATACTGTATTATAGCGTATGCTATTCAAATTATTATGGTTGGATATACATAGATCGTTTTTATGCGTATGTCATTTATAACAACGACACATATATGTCTATATAGATATATGATCTATTGTCACAACATAATCGGTAAACATATATATTTATCTATGTGATTGTGTATGTGTGAATAATTGAAAACAATGTTAAATGAGAATAAGTCACAAAAGAAAAGTGATAGAAAATTCGAGATAAAAAAAAAAAGCAAAAAAACATTTTTTTAAAGGCAAACCGTCGGTTTCTTTCTTCCCGAGTGAGTCTTCCGATCATGTGCTCGGATATAAAAAAAAGAAAACAAGAAGAAAAAGTTCTCTTTTTTTTTTGCAATCATAATGCTGCCAATGATGCAGAAGTAGTCGTAGCTAATAATGGAATACTATGGTCCATGCATGACTTCTCTAAGATTTCCGCGAGCTATAGAAAGAAACAGCGAAAAAAAGTGCTATGAAAAGATTCATTCATTTGTTGTATTTACACTGTTGAAATGACTTATGCCTTTACTATTTTTATATTATTATTATTATTATTTTTCTTTCATCATATCAGTTAATCATTATAAACAGTAAGTCAACAGTATCCAAATATGTTTTTTTAATTTTCTTTTTCTTAAATAATCTTATGACCTTGAGAGGTTTTAAAATTAAACCTTATAGATTAATTTATTCTCTTCCCTACTCAAAGTTCATTAACTACATTTATTTTTTCGATCTTTATATATATATATAGAATATTTCTTGAATTTTTCTTTTTGATCTGAGTTATAGAAGAACATGAATTTGTGACAATAACAAAACCTAGTGAAGACATATTATATGCATTGTATCAACATCTGATTAAAATAGATACTCAGGCCATATAATTCTTTCGGTATCTTTCATTTTTTTTTCCTCTAGAAAAAGAGAGAGAAAGCTTGAGACGAGATATACATATACCTAGTAAGTGGCCTTGATTCTATCGTTAGTTTTAGTAGCGTTCGAGTGACGCAATGTTCTGCATTCGCGTGCTGACGTCAAACATTTCCGGTTGTCATAAGCTATCTATCATTTACGCCACTATACACATATGCACATACAAGCACACATTTTCTATGTTGCTTGTTTCTGTATTGTCCCAGACTCGAATGACGATCATATTTTGTTTTTCCGTTCTTTCTTGAAGATGATGACAATATTTTTATGAGTTTCCGTTAAACATGCCGATGAAACGGGGTCATGTTTCGGCTCCTCAAAATACATTTATTGATACAATTATTCGTAAATTTGACTCACAAAGTATGTTAATTTCTTTAATTATAAGATAATATATATATGATATCTTTACATTAATTAGATCGACGTTTTCTTATATCTAATGCTCAATTGGTTAATAAACCAATTATTTATTGTAATGATGCATTTTGCGAATTAACTGGTTATTCACGTTCAGATATATTACAAAAATCTTGTACATGTGAATTTTTATATGGTAATGAAACAAATGAAAAATCTATTAAACAAATTCGACATGCATTACAAGGGAGTGATGAAAAAGAAGTCGATATTATTTTATATAAAAATACTGGTATGTTAATTATTATAGTTAGAAAAAAGAAAAACGGAAATATATTTCCGTAAATGTTTTTGTTTTTTAATATAGGCGTTAAATTTCGATGTTCAGTTCTTATTGCACCGGTGAAAAATGAATCATGCGATATAATTCTATTTATACTTGAATTTACAGAAAGCACTGATTGTAATCGTCAACGACGAATACGTATGTATCATTTGGATTCTTTTTTTTTTTTTTTTTATCAAAAGATTAATTAAATTTTTGTTTTATTTGAAATTATTCTAGCTAAAATTCATGAATATTCTATTAGTCCAACAAGTATGTAGATATTTTATTTTAATTATTTTTCAATTATTATTTATAGATGGTATACGTAAACGTTCATGGTTACAAATGTTGTCTCCTTTAGGAAAACATAGACCATCTCTAACAAATGATTTAACACCAGGAGATGGAAGTGAATTTGAAGGTTCTGGATCATCACCTGATACAAGCGGTTATATAGGTAAAAATTAATTTCTTTAGTAGTTTGTCAAATTTTTCTTTGATTTTATTTCTGATTCCATATAACATAGAAATTGAATTGAAGACAAAAGAAAAATAAACTACTTGATATTTTATAATGAGCAAATATACTTCTCATGTATATATTATACATTATAAAAATCTTTCTAATGAGAATCATTAATTGATTAGATTCAAATTTTTTTTCTCTTTTCTACTCAGTGAGTTCTTATTTCTGAACATTATGTTGTATTCAAATATCTATACTCTATTATCTCAATTGAATACCTGTCATATAATAGACAGTCCAAACATTTTGAACTCAATACTTCACTAGAAATAGTGTATGTTACAATCATATTTTTCATCAATAATAGTTTCCTGTCATTTTTGAAATAAAGAGTTTGGTCTTTTCTAATAAAATAAATGAAATATTTTTACTCATGGGAAATATCCTAAAAGTTGATTGTAAGTTTTTTTTTTTTTTACTATTTCTTAATGTTATTTATTAAATAGCTTTGAATCGTAAAAATACAACAACAACAATTCATTTGGATGAAACAATCCCAACAACACCAAAAACTTTCCCTATTGATTATAAAATCAGTCAACAATCATCAATAAGTTCAAATAATTTATTAAAACCTGATAGTAATCCATGGAATACAAATAATATTGATGTCGAATTAATGAGAACTAAATCTCAAAGTATTAGTAATATAGCTGGTAAGTGAATCATCATAACAACAAAGAAAAAAAAGAATTCTTTTCAAGGAGAAACAAAAAACTCAAGAAATATTGCTTGTTTTTTTTTTTCTAGAAACTGTTATTAAAAAAGAAACAAAAGAATCAAAAGATAAAAGTTCATGTTTACCAAATATTCCACGTCATATAGCACAAATTTTATCATTAGGTGAAGATGCAGTACCTGATTTTCGTTTACCTGATAGTCGTCGTGTACCTCGTACAATTATTCTTCATTATTCTCCATTTAAAGCAACATGGGATTGGTTAATATTATTACTTGTTATTTATACAGCTATTGTTACACCATATACAGCTGCTTTTTTAATGCATGAAGATGGTCCAATTAAACAACGTTCACGTCCATCACGTGCATTAAATGTTATTGAACTTATTGTTGATGTTATGTTTATAATTGATTTATTAGTAAATTTACGTACAACATATGTTAAACATAATGAAGAATTAGTAACACGTGCAAGTAAAATTGCAAAACATTATTTAAAAGGATGGTTTTTAATTGATGTAACAGCAGCTATACCATTTGATATATTATTTTCATTAATACAAACAAAAGGTGGTGGTGAATCAACAGTATTAATGGGTTTATTAAAAACTGCACGTTTATTAAGATTAGTACGTATTGCAAGAAAATTAGATCGTTATTCGGAATATGGCATAGGAGTTTTAATTTTATTAACTGCTACATTTGCACTTATTGCACATTGGCTTGCTTGTATATGGTATGCTATTGGTCGTCTTGAACGAAATACTCATGGTAAATAATATATTTTTTGTTTTTTTCTTTATTATATATTAAGGAATTCGTATGATGACTTATGAGTTGAGAATTTCCTTGTTTTAATTAATTAGGTACTGAAAGAACGATTGGTTGGTTAGCTGAATTAGCTAATCATACACATCAGTATTATAATGATTCGGATCCAACATCTGGTCCGACGAAAACATCAAAATATATAACAGCTCTTTATTTTACTTTTTCTTCTCTAACTTCAGTCGGTTTTGGTAACGTGAGGTTCGCTTAGTAAAATTTCAAAATTATATTTTTTTGCTTCAAAGTATTTTTCTTTGTCTAGTCCAAATACAAATAGTGAAAAGGGTTTTTCAATAATAATTATGCTCGTAGGCTGTGAGTTGTGTTTTTTTTTTTGTTATTTTTATATATTTTGCTTCGTTCAAAATCTTAATATCTATTGTCTTCTATGTTGTATTGTCTTTTTGTGTCTGCTTCGCTTATTTTTTTGTTTCTAGGATTACGTATAACATGGCTTGATGAATTAGCACGTACATCAGGTCAATCTTATAATTGTACATCAATAATATCTATAAATGAAACTATAAATTCAAAATCTTGTTTTGGTGGACCTAATCTTCGTTCCAGATATATAACAGCACTTTATTTTACATTTTCATCTCTTACATCAGTCGGATTTGGCAATGTAAGATCGTATAAAATAATAAGTTTTGTTTTGTTATTTATTTATTTTTTCATAAATTTACCATAGGTCAGTCCTAATACAAATATGGAAAAAATATTTTCCATTTTTGTTATGTTAATCGGATGTGAGAAAGAATGCATGATGTTTTTATTTTATTTTTTTCAAAATGCATGTGATTGATGTAGCTTTAAACGTATATAGATATAATTAAACATATTGTATAGATTATATTATTGTCACGAAATTTCGATTTATTGTATTTTATAGCTTTGATGTATGCTAGTATTTTTGGTAATGTAAGCGCTATTATTCAAAGATTATATTCGGGTACAGCGCGTTATCAAATACAAATGTTAAGGTATATATATATATACAAATGACTTATATATATATATAGATTAATATTGTATAAATAGAGTAAAAGAATTTATTCGTTTTCATCAAATACCAAATCCACTTCGACAACGACTTGAAGACTATTTTAATCATGCATGGAATTATACGAAGTAAATTATATGTATATATATATATACATATATTTAATTTTTTTATTTCTGTAAATATAGTGGTATTGACATGAATATGGTGCTGAAAGGTTTTCCGGAATGTTTACAAGCTGATATATGTTTACATTTAAATAGTGTACTACTTAAAAATTGTGCTGCATTTAAAGGTTTGATTTTTTTTCTTTGTTTTTTGTTTTTCTTTATATTAATTTTATTGCTTTTAGATGCTAGTGAGGGTTGCCTACGTACGTTTTCAATGAAACTAAAAACAACTCATGCACCACCCGGTGATATAATAACACATCGTGGTGATATTTTAACATCATTATATTTTATTTCACGTGGTTCAATTGAAATATTAAAAGATGATAATGTCGTTGCTATTCTTAGTATGTTCATAGGATTAATATTTTTTAATTTTTTTTATTAAAATCTTTTTCTTTAGGTAAAGATGATATTCTTGGAGAAAATCCTGTATTATATAACGAACCAGGAAAATCTGCCTACAATGTTCGTGCATTAACATATTGTGATTTACATAAAATATTACGCGATGATTTACTTGAAGTAATTGATATGTATCCTGAATTTGCGCAAAGTTTTTGTCGCAATTTAAAAATAACTCTTACATTACGTGATGTAAGTTTATCTTATCAAAATAATGAAAAACAAAAATATAGACATTACATTTTTTTTGTTTGTAAAGGAAGAACTCGTTTCAAAATCAAATGAATGTCGATCAAAATATTTACCAAATCCAAACAATTTTCGAGGAAGTCAGTATCGATTATTATAGAAAAATAAAATTTATTCTAAGAATTTTTTTTTTCGATATATATATATATATATCAGGTACATGTTTTACTAAAACTGACGATGATAATATATCAATAATGGCTCCACATCAATCGTATTTTGATGAATATCCTAGTGGAACAGGTAAAATTACTATAAAAGAGACAAACAAACATGACATACAAAGTCTATTAGCTTTGAAATTGAATATAATTTATAACTCGAAGAACCTTCATTAAAATTCCGAGTTAATGAATGCCTTTTTGTTTTCTTTTATTTAATTACATATGTCGAATTTGAGTAAAAATAATCTTTCATGAAAATTTCAATCTATCCGGTAGCATTTATTACGGATAGTGTATGCGCTAGTGTTTCTGTAACATTTCAAAGTAACACTATAGGTTAAATAAATAAACCCACACACGCACAGCAAGAAAGGATAATGTATACAACGGATTAAAATAGACAAGAAGAAAAGCATGTAAACAAGCAAAGAATTGATAATGTTTGTTATTTTTTATTTTCATTCGTTCAGTATTTGTTGGAAAATGTACTTTAATTGATTGCTGTTGGAACATCATCAGCTAAAACGCAAAAGAAAATTCTTTGAAGAATATTTTATTTTAAGTAAATATACCTTTATGTTGAAGGTCGTTTTTGACTTCTATTTCGAAAACAAAAAAATATACATGAGTCATTTTTATATAAAGAACAACTTTACCTTCACCTTTTTCTTTATTATCAGCAGCAAGTTCTTGAGTTTTATCTTTTGCTTCTTCGACCTTCTCCGAAGCTGCCTCTTTTAATTCACCAGCTAAATATTAGAAAAATAAGAAAATTTCGTGGAAAACTAAGTCAAAAAATCTTACCTGTTTCTTGAACATTTTGTTTGACTTCTACTCGAATGAAAAAAAAATTATAAAATTTCATTTTAAATATAAACATATTTACCTCCGGCTGCTTGTTGTACTTCTGAACTTACTTCACTAGCCTTCTCTTTTGCTTCATCGACTTTCTCCGAAGCTGCCTCTTTTAATTCACCAGCTAAATATTAGAAAAATAAGAAAATTTTGTGAAAAATTAAATCCAAAAATCTTACCTGTTTCTTGAACATTTTGTTTGACTTCTATGCAAGTGAAAAAAATTATTAAATTTTATTTTAAAATATAAACATATTTACCTCCGGCTGCTTGTTGTACTTCTGAACTTACTTCACTAGCCTTCTCTTTTGCTTCATCGACTTTCTCAGATGCTGCCTCTTTTAATTCACCAGCTAAATATTAGAAAAATAAGAAAATTTTGTGAAAAATTAAATCCAAAAATCTTACCTGCTTCTTGAACATTTTGTTTGGCATCTATGCAAGTGAAAAAAATTATAAAATTTCATTTTAAATATAAACATATTTACCTCCGGCTGCTTGTTGTACTTCTGAACTTACTTCACTAGCCTTCTCTTTTGCTTCGTCGACTTTCTCAGACGCTGCCTCTTTTAATTCACCAGCTAAATATTAGAAAAAAAGAAAATTTTATAAAAAACTAAATCCAAAAATCTTACCTGCTTCTTGAACATTTTGTTTGGCTTCTATGCAAGTGGAAAAGATTATAAAATTTTATTTTAAAATATAAACATATTTACCTCCGGCTGCTTGTTGTACTTCTGAACTAACTTCACTAGCCTTCTCTTTTGCTTCATCAATTTTCTCAGATGCTTGTTCTTTCAATTCGACAGCTATTTAAAATGCAAAATAATCTTTTATAATTTCAAGATAATTAGATTTTTTTTCTTTTACCTTTGTTTTGAGCTTGATCAATTGCTTCGTTTGCTATAGGAAAAAAAAAACATTTTTTTTAAAGTCATTTTCATCGAATAAAAATTTACCTGCCTCCTTGGCATCATTTGCTGTTCCAGTAAGACTAAATGAACATGTAAAATTAAATAGGAAACATTTGTTAAATGAAAAATTACCTATGAATAGCTCCTTGTGCTGAATTAACAACAGCTGCACCAGCTTCGACTACTATTCCTGCAGCCTGTGAAATAGAAAACAATACAAAATATGTTATTTTCTTTTTTCTTTGTTCTTATAAAGAAACTAACTGATTGTACAGCATTAACGACTTTTTCACCAACTGAACTTGCAGCATCAGCAACTGCTGTCGGAATGGCTTGTGCTGTTTCAGCAACCTAAATAAAAATTTATTTAAATTTTCACAGACCATACGGATAGGTTTTTTTTACTTACAGCATGTCCAATTTCTTGTACTTTTTCAACTACTGCATCTTTAGCATGAATAGCTGATTCAACAATAGTAGTTTTTGCTTCATCAGCTTGTTTAGATGCATCATCAACTGATGACGTAGCTTGATTGACTTTTTCTTGCGCTGTTTCTTTCACTTCATCAACTTTTTTTTCTATTGTATCTTTAATTTCTTCACTTTTGTTCGAAACATCATTAGTTAATTGAGTTCCAGATTCTTGTACAGTATCTTTCACTTCATTGGTTTTCTTCGAAGCATCATCAGTTAATTGTGTATTAGCTTCCGTTGTTTGTTCGACTTTGGCTTCACCAGTTGATTGAGCAGCTAAAGAAAATAGTAAGATTATGTTTTTTCTTTTACTAGCAAAAAAACCTAAATAATATAATGTTATTTTACATTTTTATGTACATTGAAAATAAACATTCATCCCCCGAGAACTGTTTATTGATGAAAGAGAAACTTTCTCTTGGGGCAATTTTGTTTTTTTGCATAGAAAATACTTTCTAATGAAAGTTGATCTGCGTCTGAAGGAATAATTCTTTTTAATTATTACAGAAATGATAAATCTAGTAGTTAATTGAATATGTAACGAACATACCAGATACTTGTGCATCATTCGCGACTTGTTTTACGTCATTGCTTGTTGTTTGTTCAGCATCTTTAACTTCATTAGATTTTTCTGTAGCTGCATCAGCAGGTCCATTCATTGTTGCTTTTGATTCAGCATCTGATAAACAAAATATAATATAAAACGAAAATCATAATAATAATAATAATAATCTAATACCTTTATGGTTCATTTCAGGTCCCTCTGGTTCACCATTCTGATGTAATTGTTGCTTGATATCATACACTGCTTGAAAGAATAATAAGCATATATAGATATATCATACAGGTTCATAGTTAACTGCTTACCTTGAGTATGATGATCTATGTTGTTCACTTGAGCATCAGAAATAGTTGCAGGTTGTTCTTGTTGATTATTTTCTGACATAGCTTACGTCAATATGTTTCTAAATAATATTTAGCAATAAACAAATCTGGAAAAATTCATGAAGAATAGAAACATTATGTTCTCTTATATTCTCGGTCATGCATCTAAAAATATATCCCGCGTACGATGCATAGCAGATATCTCATCACTTCTGATGTGCCAAACAACATATATACGCCCATGTACTACTGTTTATATATCTCCGTAGATGAGAAAGGAAAAAAAAGATCGACATTCCTACGTTAGTCAGCCGATTAGATTGAATGACGTGATTGACCTGACAAATGTACGTCAACGAATAAAGAAAAGAGCGAGTACTTATTTACTGAATCTTTCTTCTTTTGAGATATGGCCCCCTCGTATATTTTCTACTACGAGAAATATTGTCCTTTTTCCATTTCTTACAAACACACCCATTCATCATGTTTATTGTCTAGTAATAAAAGAAAACAAACAAGTTCTTATCATCTTGTTGCTCTTAATACTCATCTCACACTAAAAACAGAAAACTAACGACGCAATGCGCGTATATTATTATCATATCTATTTTTGTGTGTACAAAGCACGTGAATATTGTGGAATGTAGTGTACCTGTATTCAAATAATAAATAAAAAAACAAAAAAACATAAAATTATATCATTAAATATTATATTTTTTTAAAATGCGTTTTTAATATCTATCAATAATGAGTTGATCATTAATTTAATTGCAAATATTTTAATAGTACATGACGTGCAAATAATTATTTGTTTATGCCAAGAAGATACCTAGGACAATCAATGATGTCTTCTGGATATATTAAATTCAGTTAAAGAAAAAAAAAAACAAGAAGTTTAAGATGAGAAATTTGTACTCTGAAAAAAATATTATGTTTTAATATCGTTCTTCTAATCTTAAATTATATTCTATTAAGGTATACTTGAATTTAATCCTCAACTAGCTGGTCAAGATATAACTCCAGCTAATCTTGAATTTGGATCAACAGCATCACGACGTCGTGATCGTCGAGAAAAATCTTTGAGTGGTGTATCTGGTTTTCAAGGTTAATTTCTTTTTTTCTTTTTTTTGTTTTTATTATAAAACTTTCTTTTAGCTGTTCAATCTGCACACCGTCGATCATCATATACCGTAACTGCTGATGAATTAATTCCATCAGTTAGTAACAATAAAAATGATATATATTTTTTTTTATTTAAATAAGTATTTCTTTTAGATAAATCAATTACATTCACTTGATTCTTATCAATCAAGTGTAGAATATCGATTACAAGAATTAACTAAGTAAATAATCTTTTTTTTCTTAATCATATAATTTATTATATAATTATGTAGACGATTAGTAACATTAGAAACAAAATTAACTGAAGATGTTACTTCTGTACTTACCATTCTTCAACGTCAATTCCCTACAAATTTATTACCTTCTTCATCGTCTGCTGAAACATTGAAAGCTAATAGCTGATCAATCAAATGGACAATAAACAAGTTCTTCTGTGATAACATCTTCTTTTTTTTTTCTTTTGGGTCTTGCTTTACATGTAAAACCTCTAACTGATAAGAAAAAAATTGTTTTTTGTTTTTCAACAAATTTATCTAACGAACACATATAGCACTGTTCGCCTTCTCCATTCTCTTCGATGATGTTCAGAAGGTCCGTCCTTTTGCTACCTTCTCTCTCTTCACATAGACCGATAGCAATCTGTATTTGTGTGCATGTAAATTAAATGTAATAAATATTACAACAAATCATTTTAAACCTTAATATGTATGCCTTTTTTTTGTCTCCACATGATCCATTCAACAAAATAAGAAATTAAAAAACGAAAATAAACTATTTATTGATTGATATCAAAAAAATTTTAATTTATGTGTAACGCTCAATCGTAAACATTGAATTATCAAGAATAATAGATTTCTCTACGAAATTACTCTTGTTCATGTAAATTCTAATCATACAGTGAAAAAACACATGTTGTACTTCGAGCCAGAAATGAGTACGATTTGATTCAAAACTTATCAAATCGATCTTGGTTCCAGTTCTTAGCTAAATCGATGCAATTTTGTTTAGTATAGAGACATATCATACAAAATATTCATTTATTTTCTTGTGTTTTTTTTCACCTAAGAAAAACATAACACGAACGAATCAATTATAGTATTTAACATCGAAAAACAAAAACAAATAAATTTACGTAATGATCAATCAAAATCAAATTTAATAGACTAATATATTTATTTCTCCTTTATTAGCATAAATAAAGTAAAATATATTGTCATAGTCAATTCTTCTTCTATAATAGAAGGCCTCAGATGCTCTAGGATAGAGATGTTGATGACCGACTTTTTTTTGAACCGATCCGCTCCACGGACTGAACAATCTTGTTTTCTTCGACCCGCGAGTTTATACAATATTATCCTTTATTTCTGAGCATATGGGTCCGTATTACAAAATTTCAATTAAAGTTCAAGACAAGAAATAGTTAAGTAAAAGTTGTAGTATATGGTCATGCATAAGATATTAATATAGTCAATACAACTTGAGTGTGTTATGAGTGTGACTCTTGTTTCCATCCACACTCGATAATCAAGCGTAGAGGAGAAAAGCCCATGCATAATGGATGATGTAAAAGTTTTGTACTAATTTTGTTCTTTTTGTTAGAAAGAACAAAGTGTCTAATGCAAAAATTCATCAAAGAATTTATATAATTGTTTTAGCAAAATATATTTCTTTAAGCTTTTTTTTTATTATTTACTTTTGACCTTATAAAAAATACTGTATGTATATTATCGTCAATTAGAATAAAGGCTTCCGTGTAATAATATTTAAATAATTATTCTAGTATACAAGAGAATAGATAGCAGACAATGCAATCAAAAAACTTAGTTTAGTCGATCGGAAATTTACAAAACGAAAACAAAAATCTATTTTTCATATGAAATTTATAACTTCTAGCAACCTTTCTTTCCGAATAGATTTCGTTTTTTTTTTGAATGTAATCCATAGAGATGAAAAACATTGATACCATGGAATGTCGTAATAGCGTTTATTTTAGTCGTTATAAAATATGAAGACAGTTTCTGTTTTTTTGTATAGCAACAATGGCATATTCGTAACTTGTACAACTCACATTCGGCATATAAATATCTCAATGATCTAGCTCGATGAAATCTTTTCTAAGTTTAAAACAGTTGCGAAAGAATTTTCTAGAACCTTGTGTTCTAAAATATTTCTGGTCTTTGAAAAAAAAATTCAATCAAATTCGGTCATGAATTTTTGCACCAGACACTTTACTCTTTCTAACAAAAAAAAACAATTAAGCCTCTACGACATTCCATCATAGTGCTATATCAAAAACAAAATCAATACAGAACTTTTACATCATCACAGATCGTTCAAAACGGCATCGTTTACGATCCGAAAACCAACCGTAAATCTTGTAAAAACGAAACATTTACAGCAGTATAACGGATACATACGGCTCGTTTTTAGTCCGTACTATATCAATATTATCTGGCGCAGAAATACGCACCATTTTATATCCGTATGATAAACGGACCGTATTTTGCCTTTTTCTCCAACTTTATGGATAAAATACTATTAGCCGTCTTATATCGTAAAACCATCGTAAATATCCTGTATTATATCCGTTTACGATATGTATTTTTGTTTTAATTATCAAGAACGAGCATTAAGATAGTTGTATAAGAGGTCGTTTGTCATCGTATTTCTCTACGCTTTTAGTACTTTCTCTTTCCTACACTCCAAATAATACAGAAACTAATGTTTGGGTTGTCCAACCTGCTCGAAGGTCCCAATTCTCTTTTCTCCTCATGCAGCTGCTATGATATCATAGAAGCTACATGAGAAAAAGAAGAATTAAGACCTCCGACCAGACTTGACAGCCCATTTATTTTGACTAATACTAAATGTATGGTTTATCCTTGATAATAACCTAAAAATAAAAAAAACAAAATTTTTTGAATGAAAAAATATTTACTGTTTGATTTATTATTCTAAATAACTTTAAAAAAATAAAAAAATAAAAATTATGGAAATAAATAAATAAATATATACTGTTGAATTCGACGTGGATGACTTACGAGATACCTTGTATATAAAAAAAAATAATAACGTTAATCATTTTCTTATTCATCGTTCAATCGCAAGGTAACTCAAATAAGATAACGTTCAAAGTAGGCTTTTCTTCTTTGCTTATTTATTTTCCCTAGAGAAAAAGAGTTGATTTCATAATCTGAATTTTTCTATATTTCAATTTCATCGAAAAAAAACTTCTCTACTGTTATCAAGTTGAATTAAAAAGAAAAACAAGTGGCTTAAAAAAGGAAAGCAGTGACTCGTACTAAATGTTGTAAATAAAGAAAAAAATGGCAATGATTAAAGTACGTAAAGACTAAAGATGCAGAAGAGATATGTCACCATTGAAAGACATGTTTGCTCATTTTATTCAAAACTTTTGATTTGTCAATCTCATTCGCTCATCATCGATTTATACTCATTCTATATTCTTTTCAGAATCAAATACACGATGAATCATTTGCATCTCGACATATGTTTCATATCTGAAAGAAGAACGTTTGCAAGTAGTATCGACTAAAGAACAAAACAAGAAAAAAAAGCAGTGTGTTATATTATTACATCATGAACGTGCAATAAGAAATCAGTTATCTCACATGATATTTTTGATTATCTTTGCGTACATGATATCTACTATTCATTTTCTAGCCTAAGTGATTACCTGGATTCTATATTAGCTGGCTATTGTCACTATTTACTCAACTTTCGTTCTGTTCTTAAGTCGAAATTCGATCTCCTTTGCCAACATATATGACCACATCAAGTCATTTCTATTATATTATCTCATGACAATGATACATCAAATCAGTCAAATCTGTTCTTTTCTCGTTTTAAACTCGAACAATTCATTCATCTTCAATCATTCGATATGACTACGATTAGTGATAATAAACACAGACATACACTGCTATATATAACCTAATTCCTTGACTGAATCGACTAGCAGTACCTCATGCTCATAATCTCGTTTTGGTTTCATTGCCTCATCTACGTCATTTAACTCTTCAAAGTTTCTTTTGCTGAGGCTTGTCATTTATATTAAATCAAATTCCTAATCTTTATTCACCTGATGTCAAACTTTCATATGATAATTATCTAAAGTGGACGGATAACATATCAATATGGTACCATTTAAGATTGCTCATCCTAAACATCCATGGTGCATATAGTTATTTGAAAATTGTAAAATATATATTCTTTGTTTTTTTAAATTAAGGTAAAAAAAGACCATGATCCATGTAGAATAATTTTTATCTAAAATATCTAATCTATATTATTTCGAACTTATGGCCAAAAATGGGAATTACTTGTTTCACATTTGACTATATTCAACTTTTGATTGCATCTTCCATGTTCATTATCAGATTTTTCCAAAGAAAATATTCTTGATTCATTTTGTTCACTATTTTGACTTGAACAAAAACGCTGATTTGTTGCCTATGATGGTCCATATTCGAGAAATATCTTTACGGTACCTCGTTTTACATCACATATTCTCATATGTCCCAATATTTATTGGCCACCAATATGTACATCATCCAATTTCTGTTTTGATAAATATATCCATCAAATTGATTTGCCATTATTTAATCCAATTATTTAACGTTTTATCAATGTCACACATCACTCGTATTCAATATAGAAGAAACCGACACCAATCTTATATCGACTTCATCTCTCGATCTCATTGAACATATGCCTCATTTACGTTCACTTTCGCGTCAGAATCTCTCTATATTAGCTGACTTATCACATGATATTGCCTTCTAAGCGATACAAACTTTACACGTACGAAACAATTTTGAAAAATCTGGAAGTGAAATCCACTATCGATTGGACCTAAATCGATTATGTAGTTTTATTAATTGATCAATTGAAGTATCTATCAATTGCACAATTTCAATTCTATTATCGTTCATCGTCACTGACGCGTTTCTCACCTCAAAGTTATCTTTGACAATAATAAGTTATAATTGAGTACGAAAAACTAATCGGTCTTTATCGAGATGATAATTTTTAAATTCTTTGAACAAAAAACTGGTTCAGATCACTTGAGTTTCTGAATAGCGTTTTAAATTTTATAGTAATAATCTTCTTATCAATAAAAAGAAAAATACAAACACAATCATATAACAATTGTCTTCGAAGAAATTTTTGTACGTTAGAAATTTGTTTTTATCTTATATTTATTCTGCTTCACTGGGACTCTAATTCGTTCTCAAATATATCATTAATATATAATTTCTCATTGTTTTTGCTTTTCTATTCTTTGCTTGTCATTGAATATTTTGATTTTAATTATTCGACAATCGAAATTCGTTCGAATGGTATTCGTCACTAACATACTGTTTGCTATAGATCATATT